TTGCCTATTGATGCCCATTTGTTTTGGTTTTTTAATTGCCATTTTCACGCTTATTTCATCAGCCATATTGTAAGTTAAACTCTAGGTTATGCTGGCACCAAATGCTTCAAATGCTACTGTTCCGTTTTCCTCCTTCTCTTTTTGCATAGTCCTGGTTCTTCTGCATGCCTACTGCCCTCTCGGCAGTAGATGCATAGAGTTCAAGATGGCAATGCCACGCAGGGGTGAAAAACTGCCTTTTCTGTGACCGACGAAAATTGGAACCGTCTCAACTGACAACTGCAGTCAAAGCTATCAGAAACCGTTGCAATACATTTATAAATGCGATAAGCAACAAAAAACAAAGGCAAATTATTTGCAATGTGGCATGTCCATCAAATATTTTTTTTGTTTCAGGAGCTCATTTGCGCTTAAGTGTCAATTGATGGCCATCAAACGCTGCATGGTGGCCGAGACTAAATTGATGGAATTATCACACGAAGGCGTCCTTAACATAACCAGCCCAGGGGAGGTGGGATTATGCCTCCTAACCAGGGATATAGTTTTATATTTCTAGTTGCTATTTTTATCCATCATTTCTCGGTCATCCTGCATTCGGAGGTTCAGCCCCAAAAACTAATTTTGAGAAACTACAGCCCTGCTCCCAACTCTGAAAAGAAAGTACGTCAAATCTGGGGAAGAAAACTGCTTGAGTGCATTTTGGGTGCAGGCTCAGACATTTTTGTTTTCTGCACCCTCCCCCCTTTCCCCCTCAACCAATTGTATTTTGCAAAACTACACCTCTTTAGCCCTACATTTACCGAAACAATGGTTCTACAAGCACCTAAAGCAATATAACTTTTGGTTTTGTGACGTCATAGTACAATCAAATGGAAGCGGTGGTGATCTTCACCATCTTCGCATAACCACTGCCGGTGCAGAACTTGCGCTTCTTGACACGATCCCAATCATCCGGAGCAAAACCCATGCAATATTGGTTTCAACAGATGCAAACATTTTCGAACACCCCGAACATCCTCATTTAGCTTTGTATGCAATACGATGCTGACTAAAAACGTTTTATCTCACGCCTGTCTACCGATCAGCACGCTAAGTCTGAGGTGCAACGCGCAATGTGAAAGGCCTACACCAGCGATGCTCGTCCTCCTACCTCAAAGCCACTGTTCCTCTCAGCAGCAGGAAGTCCTGGACGAATCCTTGGCATGTGTTGCTCCAAAGACTTCCGTTTACTTCCGAAGCTACAGTTCAGGAATACACAACCAACAACCGTCCCAGATCGGCAGGCCTTTTAACGTTATTATCTCACAAAACTGACAATTAGCTACGTACTTCTAGCCAGTCAGCTTCTCACGACATAAGTGCAGCCAGCAGCAGCCCACAACCTCGCATTGGACCCAAATCATTACCACGCAGCTAGTAATCGAGCCTCACCTGTCTCAAGCGACACGACGCTTTAGCTGCGTAGCAAGCTGACCACGTTTCTTGTAAGACGCTATGATCAGCCACGATTCATACAACTAGTGATAAGCCTAGTTATTTGGCACTCAATACTGTTTAGTATGTGAAGTGAATATTGGCTGAAAATTTGTGAAAAGCACTGATCTTGGGGGCATTGGAAAAAAACGCTGTGTCGCCACTGATCTGTGACGTCAGCACTGATTAAGTATAGTTTGTAATATGTTTATCTCGCCTGCTTAAAACTATCCTGGTTAAATTTATTGTGTTTGGCAGCATGCTATGGCTCAACTTGCTCATACAGAGAAACGTCAACGTTTTCACACATGTTCTACACATGCTCACGCTACAAGCGTTAGCGAGTACAGACCAATGCGAACCTTTGTGTTTTGTCTAGCTGGGATGATCTGTTGTAATATGGTCTGGTCCGTGGAAATTTACTTTCATTTTTGCCATTTTGTCACCAACGGGTTAGTAAACATGTCAGCTTTTGTCACCGATCATATCCGGTAAATCAGCAGCTTTTGCACCACTGATGTCATAGGCGGTTTGTGTAGTTCACCATGTCATGCAAAAATAAAATTGTTATATAATGCCAGTGTTTCATGTAACTTTCCCAAGAAAATCACAATCTCGCTACCCGGTGAAATACTTTAGGCGCTGCTTGAAAGCCACGAGTTGGAGAGTATTTTCCATTGGCAGCATTGCTACACTGTTTGTCTGACTGATGTACCATTTTTAGGCGTTTCACGAAACATTAGAAGGACGCCTACAAAATGTCAAGAAAGGCACCTCGATAAAGACCTGACTAAAACGCGTATAAAATTCCGTATTAACAACCGAACCAGCCAGCAACCGAACCAGTATCATTCCTTGAGCTTTCGCCTTTAAGTACATGAATGACCACATTAACTCATGCAGCAACCATGTGTTACTCAACCGTTTGAAATGCATGCCTATTTTGAGTAAATATTCCAGAGGGTGCCGATACGTCCAAGCATGTGCCGCCAACCACTGCAGCTAACAACGACGATCGGAGTTCTGAACGGTTGTGTTTTCAGGGACAGGGGTTTACTAGGTGCGCTCGTCGGACAGGGGCAAGAGAGTGCAGTACCATGTACCATAAAGCTACACAGCACGTGCAATGCGTTTGTCTAGACGTCACCTTTCGGCGCCGTATATCAACAAGTAGATTGTGGCAAACGACGAAGTTTGGTAGCCCCACATCAGCAAATTTAGAGTACATCATTGAGATCACACGAATTTCATGTCAGCACTGTTCAAAATGCCTGAGCCGTTTCTTGTTCAGTTAAGCAGATACAGCTCGCCGAGATGGCTGTTTAAGACTGCCAGTTCACGCATTTCCTCCAAAAATTTGGATGGCGGCGTCCGGGGTGGCTTTTAAGTGTCATCCAATGTTTAACACGATCGTGCCGTACAATTGAAAAGACCCTTTCGTCGTCCAACAACTGGCATCTGCCAGGTCAAACAATCAGTCACCTTACAAACCCATCCCCAGGCTCCTACCACGTGGTGGACAGGGGAGTCCGCACCATTCGGACACGACTTCGGGAACGGCATAAATTAAATGTGTGGGTGGTATGGACCTAGTGATCGGTTACCACATCGCAAGTCGCAAGATCTGTGAACCTCCTAATTGGCCCTTGGGGATTAAATGCAGTTGGCTCTGTTCTATAGGGAGAAAGATCACCGAACGGTATTGATCATTTTATTGAACACCAAATATGAAATGGCAATCCGAATCGTTCTGTGGGCGGTTAAGTCAGCCTTTTTTGGCGCTTCATGAAAGGCCTAAACAAATTATGTATATATATATATATATATATATATATATATATATATATATCATAATGACTGAAGGCGCCCGCAAACTGGTAGACATCTCAGATGATTAAAATCCTCAGACGGGCAACGAAATAATGGCGATTTTACAGAAGCTCCATGGGAAGCCGGCAAAATATGAAACGCCATTTTTTTCTAAACCACCTGTTACACTAAACGTATACGATACATATCGGTACGCAACTTTTTCAAAAGTGTTTAACTTTGTCCTACATACAAATGCAGATCACGTCCTTTACGTTGAATGAGGGTCAAATGGATGCTCGTTGGAACAGCTGACACCTGAGGCACTCCGCTTCCTGGAAGGCTATTCTCTAGTGTAGCGGGGTATAAGGGAAGATAATTCGGAATCGGTTATGCAGCAGTGATACTGATCCATAAATATGCAGCAAAGCAGCCGTGCGATCAGCATGCAATCAGCCATACGGGAGACAGGGCCATGTGCGTCATACGGCAGACAGCCGGTTCACCGCAGCACCTGCCGGCGGCGGACGGGAGTACGGCTCTGACACGGAGTACCCGAAAGGAGGGCTTTTATTCTATGGCTTGCTTTTTACAGGAGAAACCCAGGTGTTATGACTTTTGTTGCATTGCTTTTAGCAGGGGGTATCTGAGTTGTCCGAATATGCTTATGTCTGAAATGCTGCCACAAAAACTGTCTTCAAAAGCAGGCGGTAAAATTCAGGCATGAAATGCAGAATGGCCCATTGGTTCGAATTTGACATTCAGACCAGCCTGCATCCAGGCCATATTTTGACATCTAGTTGGGGAGGTAGAAACCGCTCTGTGACGCAATACGCCTACGTGTTCGTGAAATTTTGCCACCCCAGGGAAAGCAATAAACGGACGATAAGTTTAGGAAGCTGGCGACTCTTATTTCTGAACTACATAGATCAGCACAATAGGTAAGATTATGCACCGGCGGAAAACAGTGTAGGTGTTATCTAGAATGGCAATCTCGCCACTTAGTTTTCCCCGTATCATGTGAATTAAGAGTGGTCAAAGTCTTCCACCTCTAACCCCACCCCCCCCCCCCCGCCCTCCCCCGGTCACAGGGCTGGCCTCCCAAGAAAAGCTCCTTGAGTGTATCCTGAGCTTCCCCCCATCCATGTTTGAAAACGTGTCTACGGCTATGGGAATGTAGACATTGCCTACGTCATGGTTATGTGGATTCGGTAAATACGGTCGTGATGTCAATTCAACCAATTATAGTGCTTCTGACAAGTGTACTTGTTTGGTAACATTGCCTAGGGCACGCACATAAGCAGCACTTAACATTACCATTGAAATGATCTAAACTGATTCCCAGTGACTTCATCCCGTCCTTCCCAGTCATTGGAGACCAGCTTTTTCGGTGCAGTCCTGTACCTTTTTTTGTTTTGTATCACTTTCAGTTGAAAATGTATTCCCGATGTACAAACTTTGTTCTTCGTTATCAATAGCACGGAGCAGTTTTCTTTAAGGCATTCATGACCTATTTAAATTAAAGTTAGAGAGCCGAATGATCAGACCACCAAACAATGCAATTTTCGTACTTAACTGCAGTTTACACTCATACATATATATCTGCTGTGACAACGATGTGGTCCTCGCTGTTGTAGTCCCATTTCATGGTTTGTTCGAGGCATACGAAGTATTTCATGTAGAAGGCGATTGGCTGGCCCATAATGAATAAACGGAGCTCAATGCGATGGCATATATTGAGAGCAGGTGTTCTGTACAGTAACAACAAATAGTTTTAAACTGCTCGGGCTACTCGCGCGCGGGGGAAACGGATAAATACTGGTACATATGAACGCCAAAGGATATGTAACAACGCATGGCAGATGGTGGGGGAGGGGGTTAGGGGACTGATCACAAAGGAGTTAGCGGCCGCGGCCGGCGGTCCCACTACTGGGTCTCGGCCCAGAACAGCTCCGGGTGGTCGGCCCGCAGCTGCTCGTACTCAGCAATCTGCGCCGGCGCCACGGGCAGGTGCGGCGCATCCGGCTGGAAGCCTCCCTCGTTGGCCGCGTACGACACCGAGTACGTGTTGCCGTCGTCGGCGACGAAGGTGTACGAGCCCTGCACGTCGATCGAGCCGGTCTCGGGCTCGGGGCCGGGCAGCACGGTGCCGGCCTCCTCCGCCTGCGGTAAGTCAGGTTAGGTCAGGTCAGGTCAGGTTGTGAGTGTACACCGGCTTGTTGATGTTGTGCCCTTATCGGCGTCAGTGGCACCGGGGATGAAGAAAACAGCCGAGTGCCGCGATGAACTGAAAGTAGAGATTTCGATCACAGCTTGACAAACAAACAAAACCTGGAGAATATTTGAAAGTCTCAGAATCAGCAGTAGAATCAACAGTCAAAGAATCAGCAGTCAATCAACGTCGGCGGGCCCTGGCGTGGTGAATCATTGGTCAACCTTCTGAAACGAGTCGCGACAGTGGCCGGGTAGTGTAGTGGCTGGGTAGTGGTCGGCGAGGAACGGGCGGGGGGGGGGATGGTGTAGACTGCGGCACACATGTCGTCAGTTGTGTTGTGTGAAACCGTACTCAATCGTTAAGGAAAAACTTGTATATGCTATCGTGCAATATCGCTTTTCTCATACGTCGTCACATGTAAACTGAGCACTTCTATGAAGCTGGAAAATCCAGAAGCTATCTCCACACAGCTGCCAAATTATTCACGACTGTTTAAATAAGTGTGAGGACTCGTCCGGCGTAACCGCTTGTGGTTCATGTGGTCTAAAGCGTCCACCGGCATCGACAACCCCAGCCAGTCCGGTGGTCCGCCTCAGTGCAGGGGCGGGGGGGGGGGGGGGTAGCTCGACGACTCACCTTCTGTCCGTTGTCCAGCTCATACTGGTAGTTGTAGTTGCCCTGCTCATCCTGGTCGAACGACTGGCTAAGGACGTTGACCTGGGGCTGGTTCTGGGGCGCAGCCAGGGCCGAAGCCACCACGGCGAACACGATCATCTGTGGACACGGGGCGGCAACGTTCAGCGCTGGTGGCACACGGCCACACCGATCCCCGAATCTGCACGGAAACACGCGTGTACGGCTGTGCCGCCGAGTTGAGGTGCACGACGGCACGAACTCCGCACACATGTTTCAGTCAAGACGGGCTAGATTGGTAAGGTAGAACTGGGAACTTCTTGGCGGCTTTTCTCTGAAAGCGGAGCGGTAGACGTTGGCTTAAAAGAGGAAAGATAACTCAAAGAGAAATTATCCGAACGAAAAACGACTTTCTTCCTATCTCACACACTGTATTTAAATTGCATTTGATTAATTGATGACCAGGCTCTTAATATAGGGGGTTCACGAAAATCACAGAAATTTTATCTGGTCATGATCAGCGCTGCTCTGAGTCTCTCAGGCTTCGCCGCCGAGTCCGCTACCCAACTTCGCTCGACTAGATCGCCCTGCCACCTGGCGGCCATTGCTGGCACTAGGCGACCCCTTCAACACTCACCAGCTTCATGGCTGCGCGGTGTGGGTTGGGATCACGAGCTGAGTGCGTCGAGAGACTGTTGCCCATCGCTTGGTGGCCGGTGCTTTTATACGCCGCCCCGGCTCTCACTGTGGCGGCCGTTGGCCATGGAGCCCCTCGGCTGCCAACCGAGGCTCCATCTTCCGGGCGGTGGCGGCGGAGATGGGTGAGCGGCCCGAGGACAGCCCTGCGGCGTGCGAGCAGGGCCATCAGGACCAGGGGTGTACCTGGGATTGTTCCTTAGGCCGGCAGCACGGATAGGGGAGCGATTGCTAGAACTACGCACACTCGCACCCGAACCGTCTTCATAGCACTTGTGGTTATTTAGTGGAGAGGATGGGAGGCATGTGTACCTTTTTTATTGTGGTCGTAATATTCTCGGTATATCACTGATCAAGTACTTTGGCTCAACGGGGAACTAGTCTGCTGGGCTCTCACTATAATGCAGTGTTAAATCCTCGTTAAAAAAGGGAAGTAGGCCCGTTGAAAAGTTCTACGGTCTCATGGGTTCAACAATGGACAAATTGTCGTTAAATGGACTTGTAGACAACACCCGTGATGTAGAATAACCATAACACCTTCATGTGTGCATTGAGGGGAAAATTCTCCCTGCACTGTATCATTACACTTAATGTGAAAACTGCACGGCAAACGTACTCCACTTCACAGCGAATGCCGACACAGACTCATGTTGTGTGTGTACCTCGGTAAACATGGCAAAGTGGAATACAAAAAAGGTGCTAAACGAAAAGACGTCATAAGCATCAGGATAAAATGGAGAACATTTAAACGTTGTTTCGAGCTCTCAAAAGGAATATTTAGGTTCGTCTTAGAGTACACTCATCTTTCCCGTATTACGCAAACAACGTTTTATTTGAAATGTGTTTCGCGAAATGCCATCTGCAGTTGAAGCTGGCATTTTGAGCCGAATGCTTGCACGCTGTTTCCCTTTCATTTGTGGCGTTTGCGCAAAAGCCACATAATGTTTTTCATCGAAATTTGTAAAAGAGTGGAGCCAATTTCCCACAACTTCTAGCTTTATGACAGTGATGACCTTCATGCGTATTAACTGCATGCATTTTTGTAGAGTTGTGTAGCATATGACACACCGCGGACACAATGGCACTCTAGCTGTTCAAGCTGATTGAATCAATAAATGCATCATTCGCCAGTCATGTCTCTACGACCACACAGTGTCCTTTATGTTTGAGGTCATTGCAAACTCCATGATTTCGCTGAGGTCTTGTTTTATTTGTTTATCTTTGTGCTTAGCAAATGAAACCGAACTCAGTCATAGAACTCTTGCTCTGATTCGCCGTTTTCATACCGCAGACTGATAGGAAGTGGGGGGAGGCGATGGTTGATGCGACCTCCTGGCATTTACAAACTAGTGAAGATTGAGCTTGGAGGAGAATACGAGCGAAGTGGATAAATTGTAATACCAGAACTCGCCATTGGTTTGAGTTTTTATGCTGTGAGCTCAATTCTTGACCCAATTATGTGTGCGAGGTTCAGAAATAGAATTGTGTTTTTGTGTAATTTTGAGTAAAATGTGTGTGTCCTACGTGTGACAGCAAGACAATGAGAGCACATAACTTAGCTAATGTAACTACGTCGGCGCGCCCGGCGCGTTCCGCGTCATCGTCGGTCGCCGCCGGCCGTAGAGCGCCGTGCAATGTTCTTCAAAGGCCGCCGCTGCTCCAAAGCTAGGAGAACCAGACACATGTTTTGGGTGTAAAACCCCGCAAAACGGATGCCCCATAGGCTACGAAAAATTGAACACGATTGAATGGTATTCTGGAAAGGCACTCTCAAAAAGCCTTAGGGGTAGTCACATCCAACCAGTTGTCCTATGAAGGCGATTAGTAACAAACATTTACTTGTGAGTATGACAGTATGATGGTGATTGGGGTTTTAGGGCGCGTCGACTTTAGGGTCATTTTGCGCCGAGTATGACAGTGGAGAGTAGAATATTGTATCCAGTATTTTCACCGCGAAATGATGTCTGTACAGAGCAATCATCATCCGGATCTCAAAGCATAATCAAGGAGCAGCCGTTTCCTTTAACACAACTACATGCACTATGGTACGACACGTCAGAAACTTAGCTCTTAATTGTCATGTCCAGCATGCATCACAAATATTTCGTTGTGTCCGCTTTCTATCAAAACGGCCATAGGTTCAGTTCGCACTAAAACAGCAAATTTCATTGACCTGGACACCGAGCGTATTGGCTACTTCGGTAAAGCAATGGTATATTTCGGTTCAAATATCAGACAATTCTGATTTATGTGTGGAATTAAGCACTCGACATGAGTGAACACAACTAAGACTTGCACCAACAAAAGGGTAACTAAAATAAAAAGCAGCGCCTTCATAGATTGACTGCGAAGAGGAGCATGCCTGCTAGCACACGTCCAGCGAACAAGGCACATCTTCCTCACAGCACAAGGGTGAAATTATTTTGAAATTGTGGTTGTTCGCGTCGCAGACTGCAGCGTTCGTTGGTGCGATGGCACCAGTAAACTAATCAACGTGTGGAAATGCAGTACTGATTGTTGCTGCAGTCGTCAGGACATCACCTGGCGGTAATTTGAAAGACGGCTGAAGTGCTGGTTATTGTCAGATTTGTACTCACTGCCGTGTAAAACTACAAAAGACAGCTCTCTAGGCAAATGCGGGAGGTCGAGAAACAGCAGGGCATGCTTGTTTAGTGTAATGTCAGATCTTACCCCGTCGCATCAATGAAAAGACTTCGGCACATATTGCGTAAAGCCCGGTACAGAGGCATGGAGGGGGCGCAGCCTGGTGGCCAGGTGTCTCGAGATTGCAGGCTGCCGCCTCTCCAGTTGCTGCCACGGGTCAAGTTCACTGAATAAACAGGCGGCCACGGTGACGTCTGCGTCACTCATGCGTTGTCATTGTCGCGCGGTAACAACTGGCCACGTGCTGATGCAAGTTTACGATTGATGATTATTTGATGGCCTTGGCGTGTTTGATAGCTGAAGTTTGATAGTCCCACGCCAGCAAGGATTAGAAGAAGAAGGATGTCCCACGTTGTTTCCCATGTCCCACGCCTTCCGTCATTTGGAGCTGCTTGTGCTGACACGCGAAATACATTTCGGTATTTCTCAAAAATGTATTAGCCATGTCTTGTTTAGGTGACCCCAAACAGCTGGAGAGATAGATGTTTGAAAACCCCAGTTTGCGCCTTTTGCCCGAAAATTTTGGATGCCACCGTCCGGGGGAATCTTTTGCAATACATTAGATTCCCCAACACAGTCATGCATAATCGTGAAGTTTCACCGCCCACAAACTGGCCAACGAACAAAAGCTAGACGTGGCTGTCATGCTACGAAATGTACCTTCAGCATGTCCTTAGCCTGCTTCCTACTCAACCCACTTTTGGAAAGGTTTCTACGCCCGGTGTAAATCATTATGTGCTTGCGATAAGATGCGGTCGTTGTGTCAATTCAACCAATCACAGTGTTATTGATCAATGTATTGTTTTTGACAATACTAAATGGGACAAGTACATAAGCAGTGCCTGACCTTACCATTGAAAAGACGTAAGCTGTTATCCAGTGGCTATATGCAACTGTCCCAGCCTGTGAAGATAGGTTCAGTTCTATATCGTTTATTCGCATCACTTTAAATTGCAAATGCATTCATGAGGTATCAGCTTTGCACTTCGTTATAAATCCCACGGAGCAGTTCTCTTTTAAAAAAGCATTAACGCCCCATTGATGATAAACTTAGAGTTCCACGACCAGACCACCCGAAAACTCAAATGTGTATTAGATGGTAATTTGTACTCATCCATATCTACCTGCCGTGCCCACGGTTTCGTCTTCGCTGCTGTTAGAGGTATACGTGGTACCTCATATGGAATATGACTTGCTGGCCCATAATGAACAAACAAATCTTAATGCGATGGCATATATTGAAAGCAGGTTCCCGTACGGTAACAACAGAGACCTTTAACCCACTCGGTCTATTTGCGAGCGGGGAAGACGGATAAACCCAGGTACATATGAAAACAGAAGGATACGTAACAACGCATGGCAGGGGACTGATCACAAAGGAGTTAGCGGCCGCGGCCGGCGGTCCCACTACTGGGTCTCGGCCCAGAACAGCTCCGGGTGGTCGGCCCGCAGCTGCTCGTACTCAGCAATCTGCGCCGGCGCCACGGGCAGGTGCGGCGCATCTGGCTGGAAGCCTCCCTCGTTGGCCGCGTACGACACCGAGTACGTGTTGCCGTCGTCGGCGACGAAGGTGTACGAGCCCTGCACGTCGATCGAGCCGGTCTCGGGCTCGGGGCCGGGCAGCACGGTGCCGGCCTCCTCCGCCTGCGGTAAGTCAGGTTAGGTCAGGTCAGGTCAGGTTGTGAGTATACGCCGGCTTGTTGATGTTGTGCCCTCATCGGCGTCAGTGACAATGGTGATTAGAAAACAGCCAAATGCCGCCATAAGCTGAACGTTGAAATGACAAAAAGAAGAATATTCAACAGCCTCCTGTAGAATACCAATCGACGCTGGCTGACCTTGGCGTGGTAAACTATTGGTCAGCCTGCTGTAACGAGTCACGAAAGGGAGCAGCTAGTGGTCGGAGGGGACCAGACGGGGGCATAGCGCAGGCTGCAACACACATGTCGCTAGTCGCATTGGGCGAAACTGAACTTAATTGTCAAGCAATTACTTCTCTATGCTAAATGCGTGCCCCCTACATGAAACACTTTATGTTCATGCTTCCTCACAGACGAATTGAACACTTCTATAAAGCTGGAACATACAAAAGCTTTCTCCACGCAGCTGTCAAATTATTTCCGACCGTTTAAATAAGTGTGAGGGCCCGTCCGGCATAAGCGCTTGTGGTTCATGTGGTCTAAAGCGTCCACCGGCATCGACAACCTCAGCCATTTCAGTGGTCCGTCTCGATGCAGGGGGGGGGGGGGGGTAGCCCGACGACTCACACTCTGTCCGTTGTCCAGCTGGTACTGGTAGTTGTAGTTTCCCTGCTCATCCTGGTCGAACGACTGGCTAACGATGTTGACCTGGGG